GAGCTCACTTTGTAGCCCAGGCATTTTCTTCTGTGGTCTCAAATTTGCAAGGATTCTCCTGCCTCAGCCTCTTGAGTGCTGGGATTACAGGCGGGCGCCACCACGCCCAGCAATTACACTAAATTTAAGATTAAATGAATAGTATTCTCCGTGAAGTAGTATCTTCCTTCAAAAGAGGAGCCAGTTCACTAAAGTCCCAAATGGGGATAATTGCTCTTCAAATTTGTCTCTCTCTGTGTAAACATAATGCTTAATTAAGGACACATAAACTGGGCGTGGTGGCGCACACCTGTAATCCCAGCACTTAGGGGGCTGAGGCAGGAAGATCGTTGTGAGTTCAAAAAACCTGGGCTACAAAGTGAGCTCAAGGCCAGCCTGACCTGCATAGCGAGACCCTGTCTCAAAACGACAAAAATACAAAAAAAAAAAAAAAAGACACATACATTAGTTCCACTTTAATCCTCTCATTTCTATGTCTATTTCTCTATGTAGTTTTTCTAAATTCTAGGGATTTTCTTCATCTTCCCCAGTATATCCTAATTTGCTTTTTTTTTTTTTTTTTTTGGTGCTAGGAATTCTGAAGGAAACAAACTTAATAATGACAAGCATTTTATCCTCCCTGTTGCCCAAACTATGCAAACATACGGTGACATAAAAACACGAGGCTCTTGATCCTTCTAAAACGTGAACCACTGGAGCACCTTGCCCTTGCCAGGCAGGTGCCACTGAGCTATATCCCTGGCCTCTATCCTAATTTTCTTTCCCCAACCCAAACTCTTTATTATATCCTTTGAATTTGAGAGTAGCTAAATCATGGGATCAGGTAATACAACTATTCCTGTTCCTGAAAGGCCAGGAGGGTGTATGCAAACCTCAAGTTCTGGAAAAGGAGGTGTCAGCAGTGCGATGCAGATCGTGAACCGACCCTCGGCCTCTCCTGCCTCCCGTGTCGATCAGAGCTGCTGTCTGTGCAGAGCAGCGTCTCCGCACTTCCTGCCGCAGATCCAACACTGCCAGACACGGTCCTCCTCACGTCTCACCCCTCACCCCATGCGCTCAAACCCTCCCTCCCTCCCTTCCGAGTTCCGGGGTCGGCGCCAATGAGGCCAGGCCCCCAGGTTTTCCCAATTCCACGGGACTTAGAGTGAACCTGGAGTCGCTGGGGGCAGTGCTGACCACCCTGCTTTTAACTGATGTCTTCCATCTCCTTTGCTCTTACCCACAGAGCAAGGGTGGCGAGCCTGAGGAGTCGGGGGCAGCGGCTGATCGCCTCATCGGCGAACAACCTCGCTGCAGCACACTCCTCTGCTCCACCCGCCACACCGCCTATGACTTCCGCAGCGTGTACTTCCAAGTCTGCACGGCGCAGGACCATCTGGGACTCACCTCCCAGCCTCGTTCTGACCGATCCCCACCCCCAGACTCACCGCGCACCAAGTCTGGTCCATGCACACCCCCAAATGGGCAGCGCTCACGCGCTCTGGAGCGTCTGCCCACGCCGCCAGCTCCCTGCCCAGATCTCCCTTGGCTGATTTTGAAAGTTATAATGGGATGAACTCTACTTCATCGACAGAGGGAAACATAACGTTAGTGAAGGTAACAGTGATAGGAAAAGAAGACGGCATGGGAAAACGTTATGATAAAATATTAATAAAACAGGTTATAAATCAAACGTCCATTGCGCTCATATTAAATAAAAAAAATGGAATCACGACTGAGATGGTTTCCACCGTAACAAGCTCACCAAGTTATTCTCCGTGATGCCAGCAATTTGCCAGCCTCCTTTCAGCTTGACCCCCTCCTACACGTTCCCCTGACCTCAGGGCAGCTCTAGGCCAGCGTCTCTAGTTTCAACATGTTCCCCCTGCTCACAAGCCACGGACTAGCAAAAACACAGCCACATCTCCGTTCACACTTAACATGCACCCGGACTGTGGAGGGAGGGCGGGGGAGGGAGGCAATGCGGCTACGCAGACGGCAGACAGGAGACCGCAGCGAGCCAGAGACAGCTCCTTGGGGCTGCTGCCCGCCTCCAGGCTGGGCTGCGGCCTCCAAGCCACACGGGGCTTCACGGCAGTACCTATCCAGCCAGGATTTAAGGAGCTGCGGCAGCAGTACTGGCTCTGCCAAACACATCACAGAAAACTGGAAGAAAACTTCAGTTTGTTTATGATCTCAGTGACCAAAGCTATTCCAATGGGGCTGCTTTCTCAGGTCTTCTTTCAAGTGAAAGAAAAACTAATTCTAAAGGAAACTAATAATGACAAGCATTTTATTCTCCCTGTTGCCCAAACTATGCAACTCTACAGTGACATAAACACACGAGGCTCTTGATCCTTCTAAAATCTGAAGCACTGGTGGACAAGGCCTCAGGAAGCAAGGTCTCTGCCTTGTTTTATTTCAGTTCAACTCTGCAACCTCCAGAAAAACCGAATACTGATTTTTCAGTTCCTTTTTTTCTTCTCTGTCTTCTGTTTTCAAGTTTGCTTTGCCTTTGGGATCTCAGGGCTCCCAGGTTCATCCTGTCACCTGCATTTCTGGTTTCAAAATCTGGTCTGGATCGACTCACCGGACTTTGTCCTCGCATTCCCCAGCCCGACTAGCTGAGTGGATCCATCGATCGCACTGACGCTGTGATCTTCTGCCCACACAAAGGATTTTCTTAAATATAAGGCTTGATCCCTGGAGCACCCTGGTCTCCGGGGACCCCTTCTACACCTCCCGTCTGTTTGCCATGGAGACAGCAGCGGGTAACGTATGTTTATGTGAGGCTGGAGTGCACTGGCTATGATAACACGACAGAGAAAACACAAGCAGCTCTTCAAGTGCTGCACAAAGTGGTGTGAAATGAGCAGCAGGGTGTGAAAATGTGTAAGGCACAAGACAGATCACAGACCCCTCCCTGAACACTATATGAACACACAACCAGAACAAGACAGCAGCAGGATACAGAAATCTGTTATCATCTACACACGCAGAATAATTGTGATCCACAGCTTTCAACTCCACTGGGGTGGCTAAGGAAATGGCTCTCGATAATTCTTGCAGCACGGCAGTGAAAACTTAAAAAAGGAGGCTGGACGTTGTGGTACGCACCTGTAATCCTCAGGCGGGCGCTGGAGGGTCACTGCGAGTTCAAGGCCAGCCTGAACTGCACAGCAAATCCCTGTCCCAAAAAGATACCCCACCAAAATTAAAAAGTGTGAATTTAGCCTAAGAATCTCCTTCTAACTTGGGCATCTTCAAAGTCATTGTTAAAATAAGCTGCTCAAAAAGGTAAATATATTCTGTAATCCTCAGTTCTGCCACTGACCACTCTAGCTTGGACTAGCCAGACTTCAAAGTTTGAAAAAAAAAAAAAACGTGGTAATCAAGAAACCAATGTTAAGCTAGGCATGGTGGCACATGCCTGTAATCTCAGCACTCAGGAGGCTGAGGCAGGAGGATCGCTATGAGTTTGAGGCCAACCTGGGCTACTGTGAGCTCACGTCCAACTTGAACTACATAGCAAGGCCCTGCCTCCAAAAAAAAAAAAAAAATCAATGCTAAAGGTAGAGGTAATTAAAATTAAAAAGTGAAGATTAGCAGTGTATCTGCACTTCACTGGTTGTGGTGAAGACACTGCTGAGGTATGCTGTCTCGAAGACCACAACATACAGAATCTGTCTCATATTAGGACCTAGTGTGAACTGTGTACACATTCACCACGCACACCAACACCTTGCTGAACACAGCTGTTTAGGATATGCTGCCCGAAGAGTATCAACAAAAACAGTTACAAAAATAAAGGGGAGGCTCCTTGAGTTTGTACCAGTATCGCACACGGATGTGAAACATGTCAGTTCTGTTCTGCAATCAATTCCAAAAGTAAGAACAATCCCAAAACTGCTCTGCAACTTTAAGACACAGGAATACTGGTGAGCATTCTTAATTTCCCTTCTCTGAAAATCTCACTGAATATAGTGAGGAAGTCACTGAATACTATGTCTTTCCATTACATCCAAGTGCTTTTCACAGCAGGCAATCTGCGAGCGGGCCCCGGGACCCCCACGCTGTGACACAGAACAGCCTTCCCTCCGTGGGACCCTTTCCAGTGCGGGGCACCGTCTGCTGTCCTGGCTGCTGGCTGAAGTGAGTGCGCAGTGCAAAGCACAGAGTGAGTTCATTTTTCTGTCTTCATCAATAACACGGTCACGCTCTGCCAATTACTGGGGTGGCAACTGTGTATTTGACTTTGAAAATAACCCAGAAAAGATTTTTGCATTGCTAATACAATTGGTAAATAAGCCCTTGGTAGCAGGGACAAAAATCAGTAAACCCAGGTAGACCCTGGCCTGCTTTTCCTACATAGCTGGTGCGACACCATGGCACATCCTCTCTGTCCCCATGAGCCTAATATAAAATCTATTTAGCGCAGAAGTTTCGCAAGGCATCCTATACACTTAATTTTCTTTAAACAAGGCATTCATGAAATCACAGTGGCATCTAATAAGATTTGTAATTCAGAACGGGAGGAACCATGGCTAATTTTTAATGAGTCTAATTGAGTAGAAGCATTAGTTCCCCCCTCTTGGTAGGAGTAACCAATAGGATAGTCCTAGTCCTAATCGGTTTATTATTAAGGGTTCCAAAAGGAAACCAGCGTTGGCCTGTGTCCGTCAGAAATGACGAGCAATAGTCAACGTGGAAGGTGCTCAGTGAAGACAGAGAGTTCAGAAGTAGCGACGTATCAGGGAACCAAGTATGCGTCTCAGTGAGTGGAGCGCGAGTTTGGAAAGATGTGCTCTCTCGCTGCAGAGACGTGCGGAGGCTGAGGCGCTGCGGCTCAGGAGCCTGGCTCCCCAGGGATCCCACAGCTCTGAGGGCGGTCAGCGCCGCCAGATCTCACACCAGACCCACTGGACCCACAGAAGAACAGTCCCGGAAGCCATCTTTTCCCCTATTTTGTAAAAAATCTCCAGCTAGCCAACACACATTTAAGGAAAAGCAGTTGTACTCACAAACTCCGGGGCTTGGAAATCCTGCTGACCTTCCAGTGACCCACAGTTAGAGAGAATCGTCTGGTCCAAGTTTTCCAACACTAAAAAAAAGATAGAGAAGTAAATCAATCAAGCAGGCAAGCAAGCACACACCTTCACCGGCCATGCACAAGGAGCGCAAGTACATCTAGCGTGCGGAGCCCACCTCCAGCTCCACGCTCTTCATACTTGTGGCAATGAGGGAGGACGCTCAGCGGCTGCTTCATCCAGTGGACGGGACAGCGGGTATTAAAATTCCCTGCGCTGGGTCTAGCGTGGACAGTCACTTCGCTTCCCCGCCACACAGTCACTAAATAAAAGTCTAACTAAGGAACATGTCAGCCCACTAGTGCTCCTTTTCCTATTACAACTCAGGGACCAGATATGCAGTCGTTTGGGGGTAATAATTTTCTGTGTTAATGCAGTAGAAAAGCAGCACTTGACAGAACTGTAACGGAAGCCAAACAAAATTTTCTAGTATACTTTAAAAACCTAAAAGGAAACAGACGAAATTAATTTTAATAGTCAAATCTATTTAATCCATGATGTCAGTCATTATGGGAATATTATAATCCATATTTTAAAAATTATTAGTGAGTTAGTTTACATTCTTTTCTTGTAATAAGTGTTAGAAATTCAGTATGTCTTTTATACTACAGCATATCTCAATACAGACTAGTTGTATTTCGAAGGTCCAGGGGCCACATGAGAAGAACTAGCGGCTACTGTACTGGCCAATAGGGACAGAGGAAACAGATCAGACAGCAAGTCACTCTGCAAGACACCAGTCCTGTCCTGTCAACAAGATACTGACACGAATAAGGGACTGTTCCAGATTAAAAGTAACTGAGAAAACAAAACACATAGTCACAGTGTGCTGTTGTGCTCTGGATACACAACTGTAAAGATTTTTTTCCAAAACTTTCAGGTTGGGGAATAGCTCAGCAGTAGAGCAATGTCCTAGTATATGCGAAGCCCTGGGTACAATCTCCAGCAAAGCAAAAAAAAGGACAGGGAAGAGCACTATGAAATTATTACTGACATGGGACAACCTAATTTTGGCTATACAGAAAAACGGTCTTAAATACTAAACACTTCGGTTTAAACAGCACTTAAAGTTTAAACAAATTTAGTTGTTCTCATCTATCAAAGATCTGAGTCCCTCCAAGTCAATGACATGGAATAGTAACAAGGTTCAAGGGGCAGAGTCTAAGGGGCACACGATTCACTACAAAGTTGTGGTCCTCAACTGGCCCTAACTCAGACATGCAGTTGTGAAGGACTTATTTTTCACAACTAGGTAGTATGAAGTACTAAATTATATGAAACTGCTTATAATTTCATTAAGTGTGAAGCTGTCAGCTTTATAGTGACTATTTTTCTCCATACACACTACTTTTTAAAAAATCCATTAAAGATTTTTGTGAAAGAGAAGGCTGGGTTCCTACCAATCCCGAAAAACTCTTCCTTTCAGAGGCCCAGGGAACAGCTGGCAGGGTGCACAGCAGAGATCTCCAAGCGACTGTTTACAAAACAAATCAGCCAGCAGGGGAATGATTCAATTAACAAATCAGGCTTGGACTCTCACTAGGACATCTTCCAGTATTAAATGTTAGGTTCATGCTGAAGGGGAGGGGAGGGGGCCTTATTTGTCCACTTAACTCACATCTTCGTGCTTCCTATGACCTGGAAACAAAGACTGGTAGAAATGACATACAAAGAAGGGACTGAATTTTCTGAAAACTTCAGTTCAGCAGAGTACTGTACATGGAACCCAGCGCAGACATGGGACAGATCAGATGAACCCCGGCTTGAAGAGCGAAAACCAAAGACGAAATTAAGGTGCTTGCCTCTGAAAACCCCAAGAGGGCGACGGCCTTGTCCACAGTCTGTTAAACTTAGGGTGCTTTAACATAATAAGCTGATTCCAGCCGCAGAACAACGACTGTCCGGAGTAAGTCTATTCCCGCAGACCACCCTTAAAACTCGGTAAAATCACGCTTGTATATACACGTGGCTATGAGAAGGATGTTCTAAGCTGGTGCTGTGTAACTCTGTTACATCTGGGAGGTAGAGTTAACCTTTCTATGGCACCGAGAGATACTGAAGAAATTCCATCAGTGGATTTATATGTTGGTTTATGGCTGAACTAGCAAGTCAATTAAACATAACACTGCATTTATTTTCACATGATTTTAAATCTGATGTAATGGCTTCACTTCTATATCTAATCTGAATTCCTATAAGATGAGCTATCCCATTTATCTATTATGTAACCAAGGTTAAGAGATAGGAAAGTGCTGCTACAGTTGATTAGGAGGAATCAGACATTTAAAAAGTATGCATTTTGCCTAAAGACACAAGAGAAACAGGATGTGTTACAGAGATGTCCTATCAAACTACAAGTATCTATGCAGCTTTGGAAGGATTTGTGAGGAAAACTGGAATTATGTACAGTTTGAGTCATTTTGGTAATGGAAAATAATATATTCACTGCTTCATGTGAACACAAAGGAGAGTGTGAATTTGAGTGAATAAAAACACAAACGGCTTTACTGAAATATTATCTAGGTAGAACAAAGCCACAGCTCCTCCTCTCATGATCTTACACAGTACGGAGAAGCAAATGATTTACGATGCTAATATGATAATTACATTTCACCGCAGAGGGGCTCTGGTGAATGTCTGACATTTCTCGTTTCTGGTAACCCAATACCACTGAAAAAATTCATTTCCTATCAAAAATAAAACCATCAGAATCAAGGTGACACTTTTGAGACTTTTCTATTAAACCAGAATTAGGGAAAAAGGCAAAAATGTTGATTTTATTTCTACATAACGTTCCCCTAATATAATATTTTGCAATGTATTTTAACACTGTCACTACGCCTCATACAACAGATGTATTACCTTGAACAGTATCGGCATTAACGAATGTAATTTCGGCACTTGGAACATAAAGAAAAAGTATCTGGGACCTCTCTGTGACCTGTGCAGGACAAGGCTGACTAGAGAGATGGAATCCAGCTATCCTGACATGATGGTCAGTGGAATTCTGTTTGGAGGGACAATGAAAGGGCTACTGAAGATCAAAGTTAACAAATACTCATTAACTGCTTTGTATTCTGGACTGGCCTTGTGTTTTAAGGGCTTAGGGAGACCGGAAAGAACCAGACGAGGTTCTCTGTTCTTGCAGAAAGGAATTCAAGGTACGAGTAATGTTAACTGCAGTATCATTTATAAGCAGCAGGCCAGACACATTTATGGAGTGCTCTAAGAATACTACTAACTGGATTACTTCTAGGTAGGACCAAATAAACCCACTAAGTATCTATTTTCCTAAATTTAATACTAACAAAATTCATCACGTAACAATTAGTTTAAAATGAAAGGGAGAGAGAGCATTTTTTAACACCTTATCAATGCACAATAAGCTTTAATGCCGTTAGCGCAATAAGGCTGAAGCAGTTAAGCCTTGGTGGTGCTAGTTCTGACTTTCTTATTTGGCAAATCCAGACGAACGGCCAAACAGAAATATCTAGTGGACAGAGGCTGGATGGCACGACGGGACACTGGAAAACTCACTGGGAAGTTGCCGTTCATCTGATTCCTTGCTTGACAATTAGAACTGCAGTAATAAAATTTATTATCCCAACTGTAAAACAGATAGCCTATACGGCAAAGTCGAGACTTTAACATAAACTGCCTAGTAACAGCCATTACATGTAATTTTATAACTGAAGAGAATTTACTGACCATCAGAACAACACAGAACAACCTCTTATGGAATTCAGAGATCAAAACCAAAGTGCCTGATAAGTGCTGCCCTTGGACCAGGCGATCGGAATCAGACATCTACACTTTAACTAACTCACAACCCCAACGAGGCAGGAGCTGGGTCCAGAGGCCTGATTTACGATGATAACTGGCTGCCACAGAAAGGATCACAGTGAGTTCACGAGGGGCAGCAGGAGAAATTACACCCGGGATAAGGACACCGACCGCGTTCAAGTCTTGACTCCTCAACTCCTTAGCTACACAATCCTGGGAAATGCCGTGAGAACATCATTTCCCCTGATGATCTCACAGGCTTGGGCCAAGATACAAATGAAAATTTCAAAGTAGGTCATAAAAAAAAAAAAACTATACAAATGTAAATTAAGTTTAAGTACATAGAACTTTACTGAGTATATTATCTTTGCATGACAGCACCGAATGTCTGACCATATTTACTCCTATTTTTGTTCCTGGCTTTTTTGGAGGGGTACCAAGAATTGAACTCAGGACCTCGCGCTTGCCAGGCAGGCGCTGTTCCGCTGAGCTAAATCCCCAGCCCTGTTCCTGCTTTCATAGATGATGAGTTCAAGGCTGTTAGTTCCCTTAAGTCAACCCTAGAAGTTACATTCAATAGGAACCTGTACCTGTGTTGATTCCAAAATCAGGCAATCTTTTAAATATACAAATATAATAATTCTAATATAATAATTTTGTCTTGAGGTACGATCACTACTCCAAAGGACATCTTGATGTTAAATGTAAGTTGATAAAAGCCAAGCAAGGTGGCACACACTCCTAATCCAAGCCCTCTGAGAAGCTGAGGCAGGAGGATCACAAGTTGAAGCACAACCTCAGCGACCTAGTGACTCAGTGAGACACTGTCTCAAAAAATAAAAGGCAGGGCTGGGGATTTAGCTCAGCGGCACAGCGCCTGCCTGGCAAGCGCAAGGTCGTGAGTTCGATTCCCAGTACCGGAAAAATACCAAATAAAAAATAAAAGGCTACAGATGTAGCTCATGGTGAAAGCCCAGGCTTTCAATTCTCACTATCACAAAAAAGTGTGTGTTGAGAGAATTAACACAGCATTAATTAAAATAAGACAGCATCAGTAAATAACTGCTTCGATATACAGTCCCATAGAGATATAACAGACTAATACATCCTGAAAAACAATGTAAAGAAACAACACAGAACTTACTGATAAAAGAGTTACAACTAGAAGAACTAAGGAAAAATCTCTACAAACTAAACAGAGAATATAGGGAATGCCTATGGGCATTTGTGT